CATGAACATCTGAGAGCATGGATTTCCTTGCATCTCAGAAAGTCAGAGAAGCGGCCAAACAAGTTTCTTGCCAAATGCTTAGGAGCTGCATATATGTCCCAGGGCTACACAATAATACCAACTTTTAAACATGCCTTCACATACCACCATTATGGTCCCACACTCGAGGTCCCTCCCCCGCTTTCCCCCCTCACAAATAATAAACGCAGGTTGGTTACCGCGTGCAATTTAAAGCCGGACTTCACCGAAGCAGTAGCTCCGAAAAGCGAGAGGAAAAGATTGGAGGCAGACTTTTTTGTTTTTTAATCGATATCCCCACAAAGTGGGGAATAAAACCAACTCAATCGCTGGAGAAAAGTTAACTTTGCCGTGCCCAGCGGTGGGAAATTTTTCCCGTAAGATTCGGAAAGCCCTCCCGTTTTTCCCACCCCCGCCCCCCGGACCGCCCGGCACTCGCCGGTCGCGGCGGCCCAGGACCGGCAGCTCTGGAACAATAACGCGAGGGGGAGGGAAAGTTCGTCAGCCCGCGGGACGCTGGGGCTCACCAACGGCGGGACCACGCCGCCGCCCGCACCGCCCGGCCCCCAGTCTCTGGGTCTCGGTTCTTCCCGCCCCTCAAGAGCGAAACAGTCAGGGTGCGCCCCCGCTCCCTGGAGCATCCGGCCCCAGGCAGCCCGCAGAGCTGGTCCTCCCGCCGCGGGTCGGACCCCGGGAGCCCCGAGAGCAGGCAGTGAACCGGGAGGGAGGGGGCGCCAGGAGGGGGCACCGGAGGAAACGGTCGCAACAGTTATGGCGCTCAATTTCTGCCCGAGTGTAGCCGCAGCCGAACACGGCCGGCCGCCCCCACCGCCCACGCCCCCGGGCCGGCCACCCAGCGCTGCCCGGAGCCGGCCGAGGAGCCACCGGGCACTTTACCTCAGCCCACACACGCTCTCGGCCCCAAGGCTCTGGGGACGCCGGAGGCCGCCGCCGTGTGGAGCCGGACGGACCCGGAGCGCGGCGAGGTTCGTCTGGGACGTTGCGCTCTGTGGCGCCCGTTTCCACTCCCTGAGGCCGCCACTCCCGCTACCCACCCGACGCGACGCCCCCCAAACCCGCTCGCTCCGCGTCCAGCGTCAGCGGCGCCTACCTTGGCGCAGCGCGACCGCTGCTCCTTCCCGGCTCCACACTAGGGCCCGGCAACGTGCCGGGCGAGTCCGGTAGAGGTGGTAACCGCCCCCTGAACCGCTCGCTTTCTTCTCTCCCCTCCCTCGCACCTGCCCCCTAATCTCCCTTACCCCCCGCCCTCCGCCCCGCCGCCGGATCTGCCGGGGCCGCCCCCCGCGCCTCAGCTCCCGCCCTCGGCCCTCGCCCGCCCGCCCGGCCCGTCAGGCCTCAGCGCTGGGCAGGCGGTTGGGCGGCGGCGGCAGCGAAGGAGGCGGCAGCGGCAGCGGCTGAAGCGGCGCGGAACACTATTGTATTCCTGACACTGTGCGCTCCCACGCTCCGCCTCTTCCCCTTCCTTCCTTCTCCACCGTCTCCCCAACCTCCGCGTTCCACTCCAACCGCCCCCCCACCCGCAGCCAACCGCCGGCCGCGCTCGCCCTACCCGTCTCTGGCTCCCTGCTGTCCGACCGCCCTGACCGCCGCGCGCTCTTCTGGCGGGCCAGGCGCAGTTTGCCACCGCCGCGCGCCTTGAGGCTCCGCCCACTTAGTGCTCCCGCACGCGCCGCGCGGGGCTCCAGGTGGGTTCCTCTTAGCTCCTGCTGGGTGCGCTGCAGCCTGGAGGCGCCTCACCACCTCTGAGGGCTGGAGACGCCGACGACGGGGAGGTGCCTGGGTTGTGTTGAAATACTACCTAAGCTTTAATGGCCCCTTTCAACTCTGAAGTTCTATAAGTGGACCCTCCTGTATGCAACTCGTTGTCGGTCACTATTGATTTAAGCCGTTTGCGCTTGAATTACACCTATAATGATATTCAAGCCGAAGTGGCTATTCACAGAATAAATTTATTCAGTTGCAGGCACAAGTGGTTTATGAGATGTGGCTTTTTGATGAGTCAACTTGGTTAGGGTACAGCCCCCAGTTATTCAGTCAAACACTAACGAAGGTGTTGCTGTGAAGGTATTTTCGTGTAATTAAAGCTCCTGATCAGTTGACATAAAGTGAGGGAGATTATCCTGGATAATCTGGATGGGCCTGGTCATTCTTTTCTGACTGCATGCCCTATAGATTTTGGACTTGCTTAGCCGGCCCCACATTTGTAAGCCAATGTCTTCTAATTAATGGATGAATAAAAGTGTGACTGTGTGTGCATCTTTGTGTGACTATCTCTGGTGGAAAACTGACTCATACAGATGTTTAAGCAACAGACTCTTTACCATGAACTCATAATTGTCATTTTCATTCACATTTCTAGGCTAAACAAAAATGTGGGCTCTTTTTGTATTTTGTCTGTTTGCAATATTAAAGATGTAGTTCTATTTCGTAATGTGCAAATATGTGAATTCTAAAATATTCGTGGTCCTTCAGACTTACCTCATTTACTTATTATCCTCCTTTTATTTACCTCAATATTGCTGGACTGTGCTGTGCTTAGTCGCCCAGTCGTGTCCGACTTTTTGCGACCCCATGGACCCCATGGACCCCCACCAGGCTCCTCTGTCCATGGGGATCCTCCAGGCAAGAATACTGGAGTGGTTTGCCATGCCCTCCTCCCAGGATCTTCCCAATGCATGGATGGAACCCAGGTCTCCTGCATTGTTGGCAGATTCTTTACCAGCTGAGCTGCCAGGGAAGCCCTACCTCAATATTATACTTAACTTATTTTGAAATAATTATAGATTCACAGGATCTGTAAAAAAGAAAAAAAGTATTACAGAACAGTCTCAAGTACTCTTCACCCGATTTTCCCCAATGGTAATATCTTACATAACCAAGATATTGACATTGGTACAAGCCACAATCCTTACTCAGATTTCACCAGTTTTAAATGCACTCATTTCTGTGTCTGTGTGTATAGAACTGTGCAATTTTATCACATGTGAATGGAATCATACCTTTTGAAACTGACTTTTCCTCTTCACTCAGCATCATTTCCTTGTGATTCATCCAAGTAGTTGCACATATCAATAGATCATTCCTTTTTATTGCTGACTGGTAGTATTGCTATGGATGTACTACAGTTTAACTATTCACCCGTGGATGGGTATTAGGATTGTTTTCAATTTTTGTGTATAAGAATAAAACTTCGATGAATATTCATGTAGAGTTTCTTGTGTAAACATTAACTTCTCTGTGACAAATGCCCAGAAGTGCAATTGCTGGGTTGGATGGTATGTTTAGTGTTATAAGAAACTGCCAAAAATTTCCAGACTGTCTATACCATTTTACATTCCCACCAGCAATGTAGAGATCCAGTTTCTCTACATCTTTGCCTGCATTTGGTATTGTGACTATGTTTTTATTTTCATCATTCTAAAAGATGTGTTGTGATACCTGTTTTCCCCAATAGCTGATATTGTTAAACATCTTTTTATATGCTTATTTGCCATTTGTATATCCTCTTTAGTGAAATGTCTGCTCATGTATTTTGCCCATAACATTAAATTTTTTTTTTATTTTTGGCTCTGCTGGGTCTTTGTTGCTATGCAGTCTTTTCTCTAGTTGTGGCAAGCAGGGGCTTCTCATTGCCGCGACTTCTCTTGTTGTGGAGCACGGGCTCCAGGGCATGCAGACTTCAGGAGTTGTGACACGTGGGCTCAGTAGTTGTGGCTCCTAGGCTCTAGAGCACAGGCTCAATAGTTGTGGCACAGAGGCTTAGTTGCTCCCTGGAATGTGGGATCTTCCTGGACCAGGGATTGAACCCGTGTTTCCTGCATTGGCAAGCTAATTCCTCACTACTGAGCCATCAGGGAAGCCCTACCCATTACATTTTGAGAATTCCTTATATATTCTAGATACAAGTTCTCTGTCAGATAAGTGATCTGCAAATATTTTTCCCAGTCTGTAACTGGTCTTTTCATCCTCTTAAGAGATTTTGAAGGTCAAAAATTTTAATTTTGATGAAGTCCAACTTTTCAATGTTTGCATTTATATATCATGTATTGGTGTCATGTCTGAGAAAAATTTCACCTAGCCCTAGGTCCCAGAAAATCTTCTCTTGTATTTCCTTGTAAAAGTATTATAGTTTTATATTTTACATATAAGGCCATGATTCATTTGAATTAATTTTTGTATAAAATGTGAACTTGAGGTCGAGGTTCATATTTTTGCCTATGAATGTCTGATGGCTGAAACAGTTTGTTAAAATAACTATTTTTTTTTCTCCATTGAATTGCTTTTGCACCTGTGTCAAAATCAGTTGGGCATATTGTATTTGGCTGTTTGGGGCTATTTCTAGGTTCACCATTCTGTTTTACTGTTATACGTGTCTATCCCTCTGTGAATACCAAACAGTCTTTCTTAAAATTTATTTTTAATTGGAAGATAATCACTTTATAATGTTGAATTGGTTTCTGCTGTACAACACCAAACAGTCTTGATTACTATAGGTATATATTTCTTTATTCTTCTTCAAAATTGTTTTAACCATTCAAGGTTTTTGCCTTGCTATATAAATTTTGGAATGAGCCTGTCTCTATCTACAAGAAACTTGCTGGGATTTTGATAGGAATTGTGTTGAAACTATAGATAAATTTGGGGTGAATTGAAATCTATACTATACTGAGTCTTCTAACCCACAAACACAATACATATCTCTCCATTTATTTAAATATTTTTTATTTCTTTCATCGCGTTTTGGAAATTTCAGCATGCAGTTCGTGTACATGTTTTGTTAAGTGTATACCATATTTCATTTTCTTTGGAGTGACTGTAAATAATATTGTGTTTAGAATTTCAGCTTCTTTATTAGTTATTAATATATAGAAATGCAGTTAATTTGGGGTGTTGATCTTGTATTCTTTTTTTTTTTTGCAGCAAAGAGCTCAGCTTTTTATTGAATGTGTTACTAAAAAGGTTTAGTCAAAAAGACCAAAGCCCATGTCATCATTAGACTCTTCAGATTCTTCTTTCCTTGCTTTTACTTTCTTCTTAGCTGAGGCAGCAGTGGTGGAGGGGACAGGACCTCCTGCGGTATCAGCACCAGCTGCTGGGGCAAGTCCTCCAGCCCCCACATTGCAGATGAGGCTCCCGATGCTGACATTGGCCAAAGCCTTTCCAAACAAGCCTGATCAGAAAGGTTCAACATTCACCAGCCCAGGTTGGGTGCATGAGACAAGTGCTCGGGCCTGGTGCACTGGGAAGACCCAGAGGGATCGGGTGGAGAGGGAAGTGGGAGGGGGGACCGGGATGGGGAATACATGTAAATCCATGGCTAATTCATTTCAATGTATGACAAAAACCACTGCAATGATGTAAAGTAATTAGCCTCCAACTAATAAAAATAAATGGAAAAAAAAAAAAGAAAGGTTCAACATTTACACCGGCTGCTTTAATGAGGGCATTGATCTTACACTCTGTGTCCTGCAGGATGAGGGCCGAGTAGATGCAGGCGAGCTCCGAGAAGGAGGCTATGGTGCTGGCGAGTGCCAGGTGAGGGCTGCCGGGCACGCTGCTAGTCGCCCAGATGAAGTGAGGGTCTCACCCCAACGGGGCCTTAGCTTCCTTGAAAGGACCATGTACCTTAGCAGCAGCTGAGGAAAGCCTTTGACTTTCTTGAATCCACTTATTAATTAGTCTTAGCAGTTTTTTGGGTAGATTATTTGGGATTTTCTGCATAGACTATCATGTTGTTCATGAGTATGGACAGTTTTATTTCTTCCTTTCCAATCAGCATGCCTTTTATTTCCTTTTCTTGCCTTATTGTGCAGATGAGAACTTTCAGAGTGGCCTGAGCAGACATCCTTCCCTTGTTCCCTATATTAGGGGAGAACATTCTATCTTTCACCATTAAGAAAACTGTTAGTTGCTGTGTGTTTGTTTTTGTAGATGCTTTTTTTGTCAAGTTGAGCAGGTACCCTTCTATTCCTAATTTGCTGAGAGTTTTTATCATGAATGAATGGTGAATTTTGTCAGATGCTTTTTCTACATTACTTGATATGAACATATGATTTTTCTTCTATAGCCTGTGGATATCATAGTTTATATTGATTGAATATTGATTTTTAACTAATCTTGCATAACTGGAATAAACCCTACTTGGTGATGGTATAATTTTTTTATACCTTTCTGGAGTCTATATCACTAATAATTTGTTGCAGATTTCTGTGTAAAAGTCCCTAAAAGAAGGTTGGAGAGTTTTTTTCATAGTGTGTTTGTCTGGTTTTTGTATTAGGTGAATACTGGCCTCATAATATGAGTTGAGAAGTTGTACAGAAAAGAGTTAACATAGCAGGCCCTTAGTGGGCCTCTGGGAACTGGGATTTCAGGAGGATTTCCACCATCCCCAGAACTGATAAGAGTGACTCACTACGCCTAAACTGTTTGTACAAATGTGATTTATGCTGGGACTAAAATTCAAGTCTCCTGATTTCCAAGCTGTGTGCAAGAGTTAACATAGCAAGCTGACCGTTATCCTTTGAAAGGCCTGTTTGCAGGGTTGGTTCTTTGATGACATCTGGAAACTTGGATTTGGGGTGAGTTCCTCCCATTCCAAGGACTGATAAGAGTATCCCACTCTGCCTAAACTGTACAAACAGTATGGTTTATGTTGATCATCTGCTTTCCTTCTGGGAGTCTGGAATTTTGGTAAGTGCTAAGCAGTGAGTGCCTATATGATCAACTCTCAATAAATGCCCTAGGAACTAAGTTTCTAATGAGCTTCCCTGATAGTCAGCATTTCACATGTGTTGTCACAGCTCTGCTGGAGGACGTAAGTACATCCTGTGTGACTCCACTGGAAGAGGACTCTTAGAACCTTGTACCTGGTTTTCTCTGGATTTTGCCTGTGTGCCTTTTTCCTTTGAAGATTTTGTTCTGTTCTCTTTCACTGTGATAAATAATAACCTTGAGTCTGATTGTATGCTGAGGTCCTAGTGAATCATTGCGCATGAGCACAGGGATGGTCTTGGAAACCCCTTACACAGAAATGCTCCCTTCTCTTTGATATTCTGGAAAAGACTGGAAAATTGGTGTCAATTCTTTAAATGTTTGGTAGAATTTTCCAATGAAACCATGTGGACCTGGAACTTTTCTTCCCAAGACCTTTTAAATTACAAATCTAACTTCTTTAATAGTTATTGGACCATTCACATTATAAATTTCATATTTTCTGAGTTGTGATAGTTTGTGTTTTTAAAGGAATCAGTCCATTTTATCTAAGCTGTTGAATTTATACACATAGGGTTTTTCATAGTATTCCTTTTTTAAAAAAATATTTATTTATTTTTACACCATATGGCACTCAGGATCTTAGTTTCCTCACCAGGGATTGAACCCATGTCTCCTGCAGTCGAAGTTCAGAGTCCTAGTTACTGGACTACCAGGGAATTCCCCATAGTATTCCTTTTTTTAAAAAAAAAAATATCCATCATCTCACATATTTACTCTCCCTTTATTTTTCTTTGGTGAGAACATTTAAGTTCTACCTTCTTAGCAATTTCAATTATACAATATAGCATTATCAACTATACTCACGATGTTATACATTAGATTCTCAGACCTTCTTCATTTTATAGCTGAAAGTTTGTATTTTTTTTTTTTGCCCACGTGGCATGTGGGATCTTAGTTCCCAGACCAAGGATCAAACCTGTGCCCCCTGTTGTGGAGGCATGGAGTCCTAACCACTGGACCACCCGAGAATTCCCTGGAAGTTTGTACCATTAAACCAACATCTCTCGGTTTTCTCTACCCCATCAGTCCCTGGCAACCACTATTCTATTCTCTTTCTATCAGTTTAACTTTTTAAAAAAATTTTACATGTGATACCATGCAGTATTTGTCTTTCTCTGACTTATTTCACTTAACATAATGCCCTCCAGATTCATCAATGCTGTCACAAATAATAGGATTTCCTTCTCTTTTTTTAAGGCTGAATGATATTCTTGAATATATGGTGTATAAATAAATGAATATATATATATATATACATATATCATATTTACTTGATCCATTACTTGATCTGTTGACACATACTTAGGTTGCCTCCATCCCTTCGCTCTTGTGAATATTGCTGCCTTGAACATGGGAGTGCAGATATCTCACGAGATCCTGATTTCCATTCCTTTGGATATATTCCCAGAAATGGAATTGCTGGATCATATGGTAGCTCTTTTTTTTTGTGGGGGGGGGTGTTGCTAATGTCAAAGAAATACAATAATTTGCAAGTTTCTTTTCCAAATAGTGACATTTTGGGAGTGTTCTCTGGTGGCCTAGTGGTTAGGATTCTGGGCTTTCACTGCTGTGGCCTGGGTTCAATCCCTGGTTAGGGAACTGAGATCTCACAAACCACACAAAGTAGCCAAAAAAAAAAAAAAAAGAGAGAGAGAGAGGGAAAAAAAGCAAATAGTGACATTTTAAAATGAATATTTTGGTCATGGATTGACAGTATGTTTGCTATAGGCAAACATTTCCATACCATCTTTCTTCCAAAGACTTTGGGTACTGGGTTGAGAACTTTATTCTCCTTTCAATTGGCTGCAGGATCTGTGGAAAGATTTCTCTGGCTCATTTGTGATATTAGTGATTTATGTCTTCTCTCCTTTTTATCTTAGTCAATTAGTTCTATAGGTTTGTAAATTTTATTGACCTTTTCAGATAAACAGCTTTTTGTTTGATTTTCTCTATTGTTTTCCTGTTTTCAAATTTCATTGATTTCTGTTCTTATCTTTGTTATTTCCTTCCTTCTGCTTGCTCGCTTTGGGTTCATTTTCTTTTGTCCTTCTTTTTCTAATCTCCTGTGATGGGAGCCTATATGATTGATTTGAGACCTTTCTTCTTTTCTAACGTAAAGCATTTAATTCTAAATTCCCATGCCAGCACTATTTTAGCTACATTCCACAAATTTTGATATGTTGTATTTTCAGTTTTATTCAGTTCAGTATATTTTTTAAAATTTCCCTTGAGATTTCCTTTCGACCTATGGATTAATGAAAAATGTGTTATTTAGTTTCCTAGTATTTGGGGATTTTCCTGTTGACTTCGTTATTGATTTCTAATTTGATTCCATTATGGTCTGAGAACATACTCTGTGTGATATCAGTTCTTTTACATTTTGTTGAAGTTTGTTTTATGACTCAGAATATGAGCTATCTTGGTGAATGGTATTTGAAAAGAATGTGAGTTATGATGTTTTTGGGTGGAGTGTCCTATAAATTAGATCCTTTTGTTTTATGATGTTGTTGAGCTGTATAATCTTGCTGATTTTGTGTCTAGTAGTTCTATTGCTGAGAATGAGTATTGAAGTTTCCAACTATAGGTATAGATTTGTCTGTTTCTCCTTCCAGTTCTATTAGAGTTTACTTCATGTGTTTTGAAGCCCTGTTGTTTGGTGCATACACATTTAGGATTGCTATGTCTTCGTGATGAATTGGCTCTTTTATCACTATGTAATATTCCTCTTTGTCCCTGTAATTTTGTTTGATCCGAAGTCTACTTTATCTTATATTAATATCGCCACTCCTAGTTTTATAAATTAATGTTTGAATAGTATATCCTTTTCTATCATTTTGCTTTCTACATACCCATGTTATACTTGAAGTGAGTTTCTTGTTGACAACATATAGTAGGGTATTTTTAAAAGCCATTCTGTTAAATGCCATTAAAATACAGAGATATTTTTAATTCATGTGTTTATACTATTTACCTTTAGCATAGTCATTGATACCTTAGGGCTAAAGTCTAATGTTTTCTTATTTGCTTTTTGTTTTCCCCTCGATTTCTCATTTTTCTGTTTTCCTTTTCTTGCCTAACTGTAGGTTACTTGAATATTTTTTTAGAATTCCATTTTGATTTACATTGTTTTTTTGAGTATATCCTTTTATATAGTTTTTTTTTTTTTTGCCCTGCCTTATGGCATGAAGGATCCTAGTTCCTGGACTAGGGATTGAACCCAGGCCCCCAGCAGTGGAAGCACAGAGGCCTAACCACAGGACCACCAGGGAATTCCTTGTATAGTTTTCTTAGTGTTTGCTCTAGGTATTAAAATACACATATGTAATATCACAGTATACTATGACCATAATTTTACCAATTCTAGTAAAGTTTAGAAGTCTTATTTTCATTTATGTCCCTTTACCCTCCCACTTTTTAAATACAGTTTTCTTATCTATTTCTCTATATACATGAAACCCAACATCAGATGGTATTATAATTTTGTTTCAACAATCCATCATGATTGAAAAAATTCATGAGAAGGATAATCTACTATATTTATCCTTATTTTGACACATTTAATTATTTCCTTTTGTTTATTTTTTAAATTAATTTATTTTAATTGGAGGATAATTACTTTACAATATTGTGATGGTTTCTTGTTTCCCTTCCTTTCTAAAGTTCCAAGTTTCCTTCTGTTGTCATTTCCATCCTGTTTGGAGAGTTTCCCTTTACCATTCATTAATAGTAAGTCTGTTAATAAAAAATGTTATAAGTTTTCTCTTATCTAGGAATGTCTTTATTTCCCCTTTATTTCTGAAGGATATTTTGCTGATCATGGAATTCAGTTTGTTTTTTTTTTTGCTGTACTGTACGGCTTGCAGATCTTAGTTCCCCAACAAGGAATTGAACCCATTCCCTCAACAGTTAAAGCATGGAGTCTTAACCACTGGACCACTGGAGAATTCCCAGATATGACTATTCTTTTCTCTCATCATTTGAAAAATGTGTCACTTCCTTCTAGCCTTTATAATTTTTGGTGAGAAATTCGCCATCATCTAAATCAGTGTTATTCTGCAGATAATGCATTTTTTTTCTCTTTAGCTTCTTTCAAGATTTTTTTTCTTTATCTTTAGTTTTCAGAAGTTATTTATGATGTGTCTTAGTGTGGATATTTTTTAGTTTTCTTATCTGGGTTTCACTGAGCTTCTTGAATTTGTAAATTTATGTCTTTCACCAAATTTGGGACATTTTCAGCCATTTCTTTGAATTCATTTTCACCTCTCTTTCAGTGACTTCAGTTTTATGAATATTAGCACTTTTGTTGTTACCGTCCAACAGCAGGGGAAGTTTTACCCCTCTTTTCTCTCTTTTGTTCAGATTGGAGAAATATTGTTCTGTCCTCAATCACTGATTCTATTCTGTCATCTTCATGCTACTATTGAATCCCTCCAATGAGTTTTTATTTTGATTATTGTATTTTTTACTTCTATACTTTGTTTGGTTCTCTTTTTGAAACTTCTTTCTCTTTGCTGAAATTTTATGTATTTCTCCATCTGTCTCTTTTCTTTGTCTTTTTTTTGGCTGCGCCACACGGCTTGTGGGAATCTTAGTTCCCTGACCGGGGATTGAAACCAGGTCCTTGGTAGTGAGACCAGGGAGTCCTAACCACTGGACTGCCAGGGAATTCCCTCTCCACTTGTTTCAAGAGAATTTGTAATTGCTCATTGAAATATTTTTTATGACAGCTGAGCTAAAGTTCGTTCAAGATAAATATAACCTCTGATTCATCTCAGTGGTATATCCATTAATTCTCTTTTCCCAGTCAAGGTGTGATTTTACTAGATCCTGGTATGATGAGTGTTTTTCCATTGTCTCTTGGACATTTTGCACATTAGGAGGCTCTGGATACTACTTAAATCTTCTATTTCACCAGGGAGTAATCCTATTTAGGTTTAGTGCACAGGTGCTAGCCTTCTTTTGTGGGCTGTGGTTCCAATGACAATTTTGTTTCTAAAACTTTTGTAGTACTATCACTGTCTGCTTTGTTTGTGTACTATTTGAAACCACCTTGACAAGTGAAGAGGTATTCCACACTGTAGTTCAGTTCTCAGACCTTCATTTATGTTGATTTAGTCGTTTTTTCCTTGCGGTCAGTCAGGTATCTTTCCAGGACTGCCTATACAGATTTAAAGAATCCCTCCCCAGCTCCCTCCTCTTTGAGATCCTCTCTTCACTTT